ATCCCTGCCGCAGTCTCTGGCCCCTACGTTCCGGCGTTGGTCGCTTTAATTAACGTAGCGTCGCGGAGTTAATCCGATTGCTATCGGTACAATGATGACTCACAATCTGCCAGTTGTTCTCTATGTTGTTGTTGTTATTGTTGCTGTTGCTGTTGCTGTTTTACATGCAAATGCGTCTCCTGCAGCGCCAGGAGCCGAAAATCCGATTCGAAGTCCGACGCTGGTGGTTGCTTCGTCGTCAGCCCTGTCGCGCGCTCCGTGGGCGTGTTATTTATATTTTATATCTTTTTCTTTCGTGTGTTTTTCTTCGGAACGTGACTCATTTGTCTAGGCGCCCGGGCTAACCGTGTAATTATAATGCAATTTGCCTTTAACACCAAGCGTTCCAGCTCTCACTCGGCTCAGTCAACAAACTTGTTAGGTTAAACGAACCTGTTTCTTACTGGCTTACAAATTGAGTTGTATGCCTTATTGATTCTCCTTTGTCAGATGGTATCTGTGGCCGATATTATGTGCTAGATAGCTGCGGAAGTCCCTGTGTTGGTTCTTTAATTTTCAATTCAGCTAGTTTCGCTTTCATTAAATAATTTATGAAGCTCTAAAGAAATCGACTTTGATGCAATCCAATCAAATATTTGTGCGCCTGTCCCGAAGAGCTGTTCAAATATTTAATATTTGCATAGTTTCGCTGGGTGTTTTTGGGGCTTGCGGTATATCGCCTGGCAATAAATAATACAATTGACTTGTGCAAATGATTGAGTTTGTTTCCCAACTGTCTGACAGGCAGTACCGAGTCGGGGGGTCTGCTTCTGGCTCGGGTTGCGCCGGTGTCACTGGCCAATTCCCAATGCCAAGCTCTTGGCCAAACAATATTTGCTTTACCTTTATCAGAAGTTGTGTGAATGTGCTCGAGTGTGTGCGTCTGTGTGTGTGTTTACTTGTGTGTGAACAAGCAAATAGGATGCTTATCAGAGGCTACGCAGTCAACTGTTTGACTAGCTAAATAATCTGACTGAATGACAACAACAATAACAACAGCAACAGCAGCAGCAGCACAAACATCAACAACAACACCAACAGCAAATATAAACATTAATCATTAATATGCGAAAATGCATTTAACAATGTATTTGTTTTTGCAGCACACACTTCATGCTGTTTGCATTTAATTAATGAACTTAAATCGCTTTTTAATTGCATGCATAAACAGTTTAAAAACTGATTGAGGATGAAGTTTTATTTAATATACCAGGCTTATTTGCCCTATTGATCAAAGTGGGAGTCTTGTGTAATGCAAATAAGAATAGTTAGAATATAAGTTTAAGTTTACTTAAACACTTTGCATTGTTTATATTTACATTTAGTTTCTTAAATATAAACGAATTGAGTTTAAATAAACTAGCAATTAGCTTTGATAAATTTTTTATTTTAATTGGATTCAAGTTGCTTACAAATAAGAAATTCAATATACTAATATGAAGTATATTTATATAAATAAATTGAAATTCTATGCCCAA